ATTCCATTCCCCTCTTTCTTTTCCCCTCCCCCACGCCCTCCCACTTCCCCCTCCCCTTTGCCCCTTTTCTTCCTATTTCACATTACCCATTACCAAGCTTAACTTTTAAAAAGTTCTTTCATCTTCCCTCTTTTCTTTTGGCCTTTCCTTCTTCCCTACTTTCCTACTTTCAATACAATACTCTTCAAAGTGTCAGTTTATTAAAGATACTTGTTTTAGTGCTGGCATTTGGTATTGGTCTACACTCAATTTGTGCTGTCAGTTTCAACAAGGGAAATATTCTGGGCAATTGCTTGAAAAGCCAGGTGTCCAGAGTACTTGCTGTGGCAGTGACTACTACTGCCTGGGAACTGTCGTACGACATAGCAGAGAGTTTATGGTTTTGTGTTTACAGTGAGCCAACCAAGTGAGTAAAAATTAAACACTTTTTCTTAATGTGAGAAAAAGCAGTTTCATCTTTGCATTTCATTATGCAGTGGAGATAACATTCTTTTCCAAAGCATCCTAGTGGGAAACGTTGGATTGATAGCCTTCTGATACTGGCACTCTAATTTTTAGTTTTGCCTTCACCACAGTTGGCTGCAAAGTGACTGCAAGTGGCATCAACTGGTTTTCGTGAAGGGGCAAATCTAGCAGGAATGATGTTCTCTGGCTTCTCTCAAAGTACAAATACAGCACTGCATTGCCATTGCTACTGCAGCACTGGCAGCCGCCCCTCCTTACTCTCCCCTCAAAAGAAAACTGGAGATAAATGAATGGCAGAATAAATAATTTATGCTAATGAAATTACTGCAATTAGTAGTTCTACAATGACCCTTTTAAAAGCCACAGCTGTTAATGTCAGGAAGTGCTGTCACTACTGACCTTATCATAAGAGAAAGTGACAAATTGAGAATGCAGGGAAGACCAGTCATCAAAGAGGTCTGTTCTGGAACGATTAGAGTTTTCTGAAAAACAGTGTGAATTACAACCAGCTGCTCTCAGGCTCCGCAAGTCTCCCATGCTGTGCCATTTTGTTAAGCCCAATAACAATAGTTATTTTGCCCCATTGAGACAAGTTGTCTCGGGCCACTTCCAGCTCCACCGGAAACCACTTTCCATCGGAGATTTACAAATGAAACTGTTGTTAAAGGAGCGCTTGCAAGGCCACAAGAAACCTCCTCATAAGGATCATGGTTGAGCAGAGGCCAGGGATTTTTTTTTTTTCCCTGTAAAGAAGTTATACTTGGCTGAGGAAGTATTTATCTGTATTGTAGGAAGGTATGTATGCACTTCTGGTTTCCTTTAGAACAAGACCGGACAGGAGGGCTTGTCTGCCCATGTTTATAGTGAAGCTAGGCTCTCTTAAAGTCCTCAAGGGAATATGACTCAAGTGTGGTTTATATAAACATCCTTGTAAATTTTATTTTTCTTGGTCCAGTATTTGGTAGTACACATGTATCTTGAATTCCCAGAGACAAAGGCTAGGATTTGCATCTGTGGCTTTTATATGTAACTTTTACTTTAAAAACACATTTCAGTTATTAGTGAGGTGGATATTTCATATGCAGAGTAATCTGATACATGTGGATTTTATATCCACTCAGCAATGTGTCCCAAGGTTGGAAAGTGATGTGTTTAAAGATGTTGCCCAGGAGCAGTTAGTGGTTTTTTCACTAGCAAGGATTGGCTTGTCTGTCCTCACGCCTCTAACTGTAATATTGATGGTGCAAGTTCTAAATGTTTAACTGCATCACCAGCCACTTGTGTGCAATTTTCCCAAGGATACCTGAGCATTATTGACAACACTTTGGTAAATTATGTGTGACTTTCCTAAGAGTTGGTGTAGCTCATTTAATTCATATTAATTGATTTTTAGGCTTCCCTTGATTAATTGAACCTGGTTCATCTTGTACAGAATGCAATAAATAATCATTAAAATGAGGGAGATGGGACTCCACAAATTAAAAAGTTAACTACTTCAGAAGTCACAGAGGACACAGTGGAATGAATGAATAGCAGGGGTCCTCTAGGAACTCTTCAAAGGAGATTTCCTCATTTTGTGTGCGTGTATCTGTGTGTTTCCAAATGAAAATTGAAATTATCGTATTTTCTCCTAGTAGTGACTTTTAGCATTTTCCCATCCAGTTTGTTTTAATATGAATTTTTATAAAACACTTCTCAACTTCAGGTTTTTTCCATGACTTTGGAGGGTTATTAATTCTCTTTGTCTAAAATTTAGTTGGAAAGCAACACCAAAAAACTGCTCTTTAGAATATTATGTCCACTTTCTCTTTCACACACTTGATAAAGAAAAATCAAGTTGCAAAGAGCTGCCCATGTATTATATGTTGGCTTTTAGGTTTGGTATGTAGAGCACATAAAAATCCTTTGTCCTACTTGGCAAGAAGACAGTTAGGAAAGCTGAATGCTCTATTGTAATCTCTCTGATCCTGTGGCTATCTCTTAAAGATTAAGTGAGTTTTCCTAACTTGTACTATAATTTGTTCTGGCTTTTAGGAAGAAAATAGTATATGATCATGTTATTTTTTTCTTCTACTTTTTAGATATTTTTACCTTGAGGAAGTCATATTAAAATTGCAATATTTATGTTTTCAGGCAGTGCACAAAGATTCAATTAGCCTCTTCATGGCACATGTTCACACCAGTGTAAATGAAATGAGTGACAGGTATTACCAGAACGAGAGAAGACACAACTACACCACTCCAAAGAGCTTCCTAGAACAGATATCACTGTTTAAGAACTTGTTGAAGAAGAAACAGAAAGACGTAGCTCAGAAAAAAGAGCACTTACTGAATGGAATCCAGAAGCTCAAAACCACAGCCTCTCAGGTATGACCAGGTGTGCTCCTCCTGAGGGCAATCCCTGCTCTTTCATAGAAAAGTATGTTTCCTTTTGAAGGAGTGCATATGCGTCATAAAGATGCCTGGTTCTAACAGTTACAGTTTGAGGACACAAGCAACACACCCCTAGTGCTTCCTTAAGCCTGGAAAGGACTGACCAGTTACTCCTCACAGCTGGTTTGGGGAGACACCTTCTCTTCTTGCCTAAACCCATGTGGAGCCAAGTGGGGATGTTGAAGGGGCGGACACACATGTTCCCCTCTCCTGTCTCAGCTTCTTTGGGGCCATGGGCTTATGGTCAGGAATTTGGCCATCCTGGGATGAAGTAAGATCCCTTTTGCTCTCGCAGCGCCCCCCCAGTAAGGGCATCATTACCTGTCTGATGACCTTGGTGAAGCCCCCAGGTACAATAGTTTTATCCAACCTTGATGTCTGACGTGCCCTTTTCAGCCACCAGCTCTCTTAGATAAAGGTGTCCGGTAATGGTTTCATCCTTGGTGGTAAGACCCCTGCTGCTTCCAAGGGGGGACTATCTGTAACTGGCAGGAGTAAATCAGCAGAGAATTCCCACAGAATGCTATTCTCATCTCATTGTTAAAACCCAATCAAGGCCAGGGATTTACTTCAGTGGTACCGTGCCTGCTTGGCAAACCCAAGTTCCTGAGTTTGATCCCCCATAGCCCCAAAAAACAACAACAGAAACATCCAATGAAGTTTGTAAAGTAGGTCTCACTCCTACAGTTTCATACATGAGGCTTAGAGAGTTCAAGGCCAGAGAGCCAGTGAGTTTGGGGCTTAAACCCAGATCTGTGTTATTCTAATGTTCATGCATTGTCTGTGGTACCATGCTGTCTCTGGGACCTGACATGAGGGGCTGTGCAGACTTTGGAGAGTAAACCAGCCTTTCTCTGCTCTACCTGGGCCCTGAAGTGGAATAAAATAAATTCTCACTGGTGGTCATCTCAAGGCCACCAATACCGGTGGGCTTTTCCAAGTTTTGTTACTGGGTCCTACCCTCATGCTTTTTAAGGGCCAGTTTATCTAAAGCCAATTTTTCTCCATGAGGGCTGAGCAGCCATCTGTTCCTAAGCTAGAAATAAGATATGTTTACCTTCCTTCTTTTATTTTTTTATTTTTTATTTTACCTTCCTCCTTGTAAAGGTGCTCTCTGGCCACGGTCTTCTAGACTCTGCAGGCCAAAGCGCACCCAGCTCTTTCCTACAGAGTTCACACTTCAGGAATAGCTCTGTGATGAAGCACTGTGGTCTGTACTGAGCAGTGAATAGGTGGGTCATGATTAGGAAAGAAAAACCAGAGTGAGAAGGTTTTCAGGACAGTTGAATCAAGTGATATAAAGAATAGTTGCTGGGAAACCCTCTAAGAGCATATCCATATTTGTGGATCTGCTCCTTCCCCTCCAATGAATGTCTCTTGCCCCGCTCTTTTCTTTTTTTACTTTCTCTGTCTCAACTTTTCCTTTACCTAAATCAACAGCCTTTTCCCTAGTAAAGATTTTCCTGTAAGTCCTATTAAGCTAATATGTTGAACTAAGTTGGTGAGGAAGAAGCTCTGTGTCAAGATCATTCATGTCCCTTTGTGTCATGTCTGAAACAAAACCTGGTGACTTTGCCTATGGAAATGATAGTGTTGTCACCCAAACTGAGCTGTCAGTACTGGCAGGAAAGCCTATATAAAGAAAAACAGTGAAGGACCAGGGATTTAGCTCAGTGGTTCCACCACCTGCCTCGCGAGCGAAAGGTCCCGAGTTCGATCACTGGTACCAAAAGAAAAAAAGAAAAACAGTGACTCTACCACGCTTAAGGAGTTGTCTCCCCATAGAGCAGAGCTAAAGGCAAGTGAAATAGCATCCTGGCTCATCCTGGGGTAGCAGCTTCTCAGCCATAAGGAGAAGAACAGAGAGTCTGTGGTCTCTTAGTCATCCCAGTGATGTATTAATGAGGCAGAGGCTCAGGGGGAGAAGAAGCAGAAGCTGATTCCGTGAGCCTGCTGGTGCAGGGTTGCACAAAGTTTGTGAGGATACAGGAAGCCATAGTGGATGAAATACAGGTGGTTTCTTTTCATTAGGTATCTAGATATGGAATTCTTTCACTGTCAGAGGAGTGGTTTAGATATTTCATAGCCACTTGATTGTTTTAGAACAATCAATATTTTTTTTGGTACCGGGGATCGAACTTGGGTCCTTCTGCTTGTGAGGCAGGCAGTGGAACCACTGAGCTAAATCCCTGGCCCTGGAACAATCAATTTATTATAAAAAGGAAGTATGGTTTCTTGTGGAGAGAACTGGAGAGACTTAAGAGTGTAGGATCGGGCTGTGTGTGGAGCAAAACACCTTCATCTTGGAGCATGTGCCCTCCACAGTCTGTCTGTGGTAAGCAATTCCACAAATTCCATGGACAACTGTGCTGTTGGAGATGTATCTAATCCTTAGCAATGTGGATTCATTACAGTACAGCTACAGACCCTTTACAACCGTACAACCTCCTCTACATGTCCTCTTACATCATTGCAGATAGCTGCAATGACATTTTTCACTGGTAAAGGCTCCTTCCAGAGCTGGAGCCACTTTGTATATTTCAGAGCTAATGACTCCCTTAAAAACTGAAATTAGGGCTTGAAATAACATAATTCCCCCTAGACCAGTGGTGGCAAACCTATGACACATGTGCCACAGCAGACTGTTATCATTGAAATCTCTAAAAGGTTTGCCATCACTGCCCTAGACTCAGATGAGTTTTGACTATGGCCAGGCGTAAAACAAGTTTCAATGGAGAAAAAGAACAGAAAAGTAAGTGTTACTATGTCACTGTGTTACCCTGAGTACACAGAAAAGGCTAAAAGAAATCAGGCTTATGCCTGGGGATGTAGCTCAGTGGCACTGCACCTGCCTGGTAAGTCCAAGGTCCTGAGTTTGATCTCTGGTATCAGAAAAAAAAAAAAAAGGTCAGGCTTAAATTAAGATAGTGCAGATAGCAGTCATAATAGTAATCATGCTTTTTAGGTACAGTGTAAATAATTAGGGTGAGGTTTACAAGCCTAGTTGGATACAGTAATGGGATTTTCGACCAAATGAAACCATTAAAGTACCTTTCACAAATAAGTCAAAATAAATGATTATGGCTGTATGTGATAGTACACACCTATAATCCAAGCATTTGGGGAGGCTGAGGCAAGAGGGATGCAAGTTCAAGGCCAGCCCAGGCAATTTAGTGACTTAATGAGACCCTGTCTCAAAATAAAAAATAAAGTTAAGAAAGGGGTAGGGATATAGCTCAGTGCAGAGACCCTGAGTTCAATACTCACTACAACCAAAAAAGTTATGATTGTTCTTTTTGTTGGATATTTAAAATCATTATATTTCTGGAAAATGAGTAGAGAGCTAATTATCATGATTTTATACATTTCTGAGAACTGAGTCACATTTTTTCTCTAGCACTTTGTTTCTGCTTTGATTTACATTATTCTCAAACTCAGAAATGAAACCTGGTGATATCATCTGATCCTCATGAAATCACAGCTAAAAGAAGGGCAGAATCTTTCTTTTGAGCTAATACCTTTGGTGATGCTGCAGAAAGGCTACATCTCCTGAAGCAGAGTGAGATAGCTCAGTAGTGGGCTGTTCCACATCCCTGGCACTCTCTGGTCTTCTGCCCACACAGTGCTGGTACCCCACAAAGCACACATAGTTTGTCCTTCCCTCTAGATAGTCAGTTCATGTGGGGTTGGCTCCATGGTCCTAAATTAAATGTCATGGACCGTGAGAAAAATGAAACTGAGCCATTTTGCGAAAGGTGGGAAATGGTAAGTCCTGTCGGTGGGCATTTCTGTATGCAGCCAGTTAACCTGCAGACAGGCAAGAAGAATTCACGTCTTCCACTTATCTGAAGGCTTCAGCGGTTTCCTGTTGGTAAGTACAAGTCAAGGTTCTCCTGCTTGTCACCGAGCCAGTCTCCCCATGCCCTTCATACCTTGAGCCCAAGCTGCGTAGAACCAGAAAAGTGTGGGGGGTTGGGGTGGCATTTGCTCGGCCACAGAACTCGCTTGGTGTTTCCCTGAGTGCACTGTTTAAGTAGCAAAGACAAATTTATGCTTAGTGCCAACACAAATCAATTACATTTCCTGAAAACATTGAAAAGCATTATTCTGTTTGTTCTAGTGCGGGAAAAAAAAATTGGGCTGTCTTTTAGCAAATGAGACTACAGTAAAATCGAGGAGGCCATCAACAGATGGATTATACAAACTGTTAGGGATCGCTGAATCCAAACTAAAAAATAAACTATCTGCTTTTTGTTGTTATCCGTGCAAGTTACTCCAGAGTGATGACTTTTCCTTTAGGTGGGAGATCTGAAAGCCAGACTTGCCTTACAAGAAGCTGAGTTGCAGCTGAGAAATCATGATGCTGAAGCTCTGGTCACAAAGATCGGGCTTCAGACGGAGAAAGTGAGCCGGGAAAAGGCCATCGCGGATGCTGAGGAGCAAAAGGTCAGGCTAATTCCACCATTTAGAGTGGTGAGCTATATTTAGCACAAAATAAACCTTTGTAGGTGAACAATTTTGAACAACTTCCTCTCCAGGGAGCATAAAGTCTAAAGAATTATTATAGTTACACATGTAACAGCATTTCACACCATGATTACCACTTGACCTTTCTTTACATTATGCATTTTCCCAACCTTTTAGCTCTTTTAATGATATGAAAGAACAATAAATACTGAGCTCATTCAAGCATATAATGGATGTGGATCTTGAACATCAGGCCTATTTGTAATACAGTAAAGGTCAGGAAGTCACCTCCGAGGTTTCTAAAGGTTTTCAGTTTTTAGGCAAATGGAACAACTCAATTGTTAACAAAGCCCATTCGGTCACTTTGCAAGATGGTTTTCAAATTTTGCATTTTAATAATATAACTGGAGTTTATTATTAAGTCCTAAGCTAAATTTGTTCTTTTTGGTTCAATTGGAGCCCTGGCATTCTGTATTATGTTTTATTGTTGGAAATGATTACTTTTAAGATTATATAGATTCTGCTTTTTTGTACTTAGCTTGCTAGCAATTCTGAAAATAAATACAATTTCTTTTGTCATCTTTTTTAATTTTACCAAAAATTCAACTCCAAATGAAAGATATTTGTGTATACCTTATCTCCCAAAAGGCACAGCACAGTAAACCGATGATTAATAAATATTTTTTAAAATTAAATGTATATGTGAGAGAGAAAAATTTTCTTGTTTTAGACAAAAGATCATTAAAAATTCTAAATTTCTAACTCTCTCATGATCATTAAAACAGTAGCCATTATGCCATTATCCTTGTATTTTAGGATATCAAAAGATATGTGAGGTTTTCTGGTCTTTATATGTAATTGAATTTTCTCTTTTTTCTAATGGTATTGAGTGTATTTTCACTTATCTTGCACAGATACTTAAAACTATATTGAAAATCAAAACAGCAAACAAGCAGTTTTTAAAAATAACATGTGAAATAGCTGAGGTTGACAATCAAGCACATTTGCCCTGACCAATAGGCACATAATTCCTAATTTGGGTAATGAATGTTTCTATTGTATATCAGATAAGTGGAGAATGTCTTTAAAAGTATATAGGGCCGGGACTTTAGCTCAGTGGTTCCGCCGCCTGCCTCACAAGCGCAAGGACCCGAGTTCGATCCCTGGTACCAAAAAAAAAACAAAAAACAAAACAAAAAGTATATTATTCTATTAAGCAATTAGGTATCACACATGGTATGATTATGCTAAGCTAATTCTACCCAGGGGATGTTTTTCAGGCATTGTCCAAATGTCTGATGTTTCAGTGATTGTTGTATTATAACCTATCACCATGGATGTATTTTGGAGATCTTAAAATATGACAAGGTTACTACAGGTATTTTTTGTATTTTTTCTTGTGAATTCCTAAGGTAGAATTATCCTCATAAAGAAAAAGATGTTAGCAAATTAGAATTCACCTCATAGGTGGTTTCATAAGATTCTTTAAACATGAAAAAGATACGAACTCTCTTGTATATCTAATCCATGCCAAGAAGTAAAAATAAAACATACTTTCTTTTACTCATAGATCTTAACTGTAAACAAGTATGAACTCAGCTTTTTGATTGAGGGAAGGCAGGACCTGCTCTAGGCTCTTGGGGATATTTGACAAGCAAGATGCTCTTGTGTGGTTTACATTGCAATGAGAAAAACTTACAGGTATCAAGCAACATTTCGAGAAACAAGATATTCTGAGTTAATGATAAGGGTTCTGATGAAATCAAATAAGTGAGATAGCAGAAGATACTATTTTAAATATGTTGATCATGGAAAGAAGGTATATTTGCAATTAAACTACATAGAGCTAGAAATTAATTAACACCTGGGTACCTACTGTGGCCTTAACATGTCTTATATTCAACGACTGTGCTGGATACTATACAGTTACAAAAGAGGGTGAATATGGACCCTTTCTGATCCTGTGAAGTTGGGCCCCCCAGGCTCAATACATGAGTAGTAATTAAAAAGTAATACTGTATAATTTACTAAGCACAGTGCCACATATACTAGGACTAAACAAATGTTGGAGTTTAGAGATTGGCATGCTATGTGTGTTGATAGCCCATATGAAGAAGTGGGTTGAAATTGTTGCTTTGAATTTATGAAATAATCAAGGGCCACTGGCATTCCCAACAGTGACTTCAAGCAGCACAAGCACAACTAAGGTGATGAGGTTCTTCTTCCATCCTTGAATTATCAGCTCCAAATACTAAAGTTCTAGGCAGCCTATGATTACTTCCAAACTGCTTTCTTCCTTTGCATGGAGTGGGACCCTCATGACTGGAAGCAACTTCTTAATTGAAGTGCTAATATAAGCTCTTCAAAAGTTGGGTCTCCTCCTTGATTTTGAATGGTTGTCATTTTCTCTGTGTGTTTCTTTTCTAAGTGTGAGTGGATCTGGGTTTTGGAGGACCATCAGGAATTTCATGTGGTGTGAAAGCAGGTAAGAGCAGTGTATCAGTTTGCTAGGGCTGTCATAGCAGAAAACCACAAGCTAGGAGGCTTAAATAACAGAAATTCATCTTCTCCCTGATTTGGAAGCTGATGTCAGAATTGTTTCGGCAGGTTTCTCCTGAGGTGTTTTTTCCTTGGCTTGCAGATGGCTGCGCTCACACTTTGTCCTCACGTGGCCTTTCCTCTGTGAGCACTCACACATCCCTGTATCTCTTCTGTTTCCAGACTTCTTCCTCTGAGGACACCAGTCAGATTGTACTAGGGCTCTTCTTTAAGGCTTCACTTTAACCTCGTCACCTCTGCAAAGGCCCTATCGCAAAACATAGTCACATTCTGAGATCTTGAGGGTTATGGCTTCCATATATAAATTTGGGGTAGATACAGTTCAACTCAGCCAATTTTTGAGACTTCATTCTCTTATTGTCATCACCACAAAATTTTATCTCCAAGGAGCTGTGGACTAATAGGAAGCAGAAGATTTCTGGTATACCCAAAGATGGGGCTCTCTCCATCTCTGCTTTAAAGTCCATGGTCCAGGGAAAGCACACATCCAAGGACATCTCCACAGCTTCTCTGCCTCCGCCAGCTTGAGCCTTGCTGACCACTACTTGGGAGCCATCAGGCAGAGGAAGTTGCACCCTGCTGCTCATGAAGCCACTGAAATACACAGAATTTTTACTACGTTAGTGTTGTTGTATCTGAGGGTAGAAGGTATTGGGAATGAGAAATAAGTTGACCAACCAGGTTTCCATTTAATGTTCAAGATTATATTGCTTATAAAAATTGCAGAAAAGAATAATAGTCCATTAATAGTCAAGGAATCCAAAGGTGAAGCATGGCTGTGCCCAAGTTCATAGAAATAGCATTAACAGAAGTACCCTTCTAGGTTTCTCCTAGCACTAAAAATCTGTGGTCATAATTAATTTAAAATGATTTTCAGTGACTACATTGTAAGTGGTAACAAACAGCACTTATAGATTCACTGTATCCTCGTGGAAAATAGATAAATCTGAAGTAGTAACTCATATGCTGTCATTGGTATCGTGTTCTCTAGCACACTGAAAACATAGCATTCCTAAGAATTTTCATGGTCTATTCCTGGAAAGTTTTGAGGATTGTGGTTTTGGAGCGGTTCTCAGTAAGCATGCAGAGTTTTCTTATTTACATTAACAGTAGCTGTGTGTGCATTAGCAGGAGATCACATATCTACCCTGAACCAATTATGTTCATAAAAGGTGCAGTATGCAACAAAATAATGGTTAATCAGGAGAAGGGTAATTACTACTAATAAAGCTGTAGTAGACAACATAATTTGTTGTAAGCAGTGTTTAATTTTATGGTATGGTTAAACCTGCTCATTCCAAACACATCTGAAGAAATGAACTTTTGTTCACACTTTATATTCCACAATCACTGTCACCACGGGAACCATCTTCCAGGGGTGACTAGATCCTGATGCTCAGTGCCACAGCTTTGAAACTCAAACTTCGGCTGAGGACTAAAAATTAACACTTTTTTGCCATTTGAATTCTATAGGTATCCTAAGAGGAGGAAGATTAAAACCCCCCACCTTCCCATATTGGTTTGACTTGAATTTCCCACCATGGCTTTTCTGTGTCCTCCTCATATGGGTTATCAGGAGGCTGAGGCAGCACCCTGTTAGTCCTTTAAAAAGAGGCCACAGGACCCACAGCAGAGGAATGGGCATCAGTGTCTCTGTCTGTTAACCCGATGCATCTGGGATTCTGTATCTGTAGTATCTTACCAGATTCTCAGGAAAGCCAGTGAGTCATTTTTTATAAAAATTCAATCTATAGTTCAATGTGAAATCTAAGACTGTAGAACAGAATATCTTCTAACCAGGTGAACGAAAGAGCTTCACACCTGTTCTTAAGGAATAGCCAGTGTTAGCAAAACTAAATTAAAATTCTAGAAAGAATATTTTGTGGTCTAAATTACTGGATTTTTCACTTGTCCAGGATTTTCTGCAAAAGAAAATTGAAGAACAGAAGAATGGCTGCTTAAACTTGTTTTTGTTAATAGTGGCACTGCAATTAAATGAGTCAGAGTCCTTCTTGGAGTGCTTTGATATTTGAATCCATTTGGTCTGGGATTGTCATTGTGTATTTTGTATATTTACAAAGCTTTATATACAAACTGTACTTGATGGGAAATTAGCCTCTAGGACAAATTCATCACCTGCTTAAAGTATAGACAAATGAATTACTTAACAGTGCATCGGAGTCCGTCTGTGCTTTTCGATAGAGACCTCTGAGATAATAATTTGCATGTGTGAGTTTATGTGCTTTTTCTCTCTAGGTGGCAGCCATTCAGACTGAGGTGTCTCAGAAGCAGAGAGAATGTGAGGCTGACTTGCTCAAGGCTGAGCCTGCACTGGTGGCTGCTACTGCTGCGCTCAATACACTCAACAGGGTAAAGATGATTTCTTGGCTTGTGGATTTCCTCAAAATGTAATACTTACACGTTATTAGATTTGAATAATTGAGCAGAAAATGTGGCACATATGTCCAAAAAAGTTTTCTTAAAGGAAAGATTCATAAGACATTAAAATTGAAACAAATCTTTAAGGACATCATTATAGTTCAACTTCTTTTTCCATCTGGGAGTCAGTTCTGCCATATGTGACCAGCAGTCTTGTGAATACTTCCAATACCATGGAGTTCATGGTCTTATAAAAAGTTTGACTTCCAGTAACTGAATTCAGCCCAAAACCAGCTTCCTGTATTATGTGTGGGAAAGAGGGTTCAGCCTACATAGACCCAGCTGAGAGTTGCTGCAGTGTAATGGAAGATGCTAGACGATGATGTTTCTAACTTGTGCACATAAAGCAGAAAAACAAAACTGAGAGGTGCTGAACTAAGGAATTATACTTATGGAAAGGCCTGGTTAAAGTGCAAATGTATTACACAGAATATTATTCATAAATACCTTACAATCTGTATGTTCACAAAACTTCCTGGCCTCAGTGACCAGGTCTCTGCAGGACTTAGATACTAGATGGATCATTTTTCTTGGAGGCAAAGAAGGACAGTGATGTTTCTAGAATAACCGAAAAGTGTCAAGCAAGCAAGCACTAACTCCCAGGACACCAAAATAGAGTCCCCAAGTGGCAAAAGCTGCTACATTGAGACTGGTGTGATATTGAGGGATGGGAGGCCACCAAAGACCAGCTTGGCAACTTAGCACTTCTCCAGGCCTCCCCTGACCCTTTGCGTTTGTGTGTGTGGTTTTCAGGTCAACCTCACTGAACTGAAAGCCTTTCCCAACCCCCCAAATGCAGTCACCAATGTCACTGCAGCCGTGATGGTCCTCCTGGCTCCCCGGGGAAGAGTGCCGAAAGACCGAAGTTGGAAAGCAGCTAAAGTCTTCATGGGGAAGGTATCAGTGGGCCTGGCAAGCTGAAAACCCTTACATTTTCTGTCCTGTATTCAGTACTGCATTAAGCCTGACGACAAATGATGTTCAAGGCCCAAACCCATCTTCCTAGCCACTGAAGGTGATCTGCTTGTGTTCTTTAGATTGAGAGCTTTTGCTAGCTAAGTTGGAGGTGAGCTCGAGCTTATGGCATACCTAAGTCAATGCCAACAGCAGGTGGAAGGTCGCTAATTATTTGCAAAATTATGAAAGCAGTTAAGTGTAGGAGGGAGAAAATTACATGGATTTCTTAGGCTTGAAAAATGTTACTAATGTACAAAAAGGTGAAGCAAAGGGGCTTTTTGGTATGTGTTTTGCGATTTCTTTCCTTCCTTTCTTTTCTTCAAAATGTGAATACCTCCTGTGCTGGGACTGAATATTTTACCCTGGGATAGAAGAGGTTTTAAAAGTGTCCATTGCTAATTCTAACTTCATACTGCAAAGACTGAAAAAAGTCAAACAGTAGGATAAGTGCAGCTTGCCAATTTTGCCTTTGTATTATGAGTTCTAAAAGCTGATTTTAACTTTTGATCTTGGAATTTTCTCTGCAGCCAAAATGGGTTCATTGCAGTAAGTCTTTTTTGCTTTACAGGTTGATGATTTTTTGCAAGCTTTAATTAACTATGACAAAGAGCACATTCCAGAGAACTGTCTAAAAGTGGTGAATGAACAGTATTTGAAGGACCCAGAGTTCAATCCAAACCTGATTCGGACCAAATCTTTTGCAGCGGCTGGTCTCTGTGCCTGGGTCATCAATATCGTTAAATTCTATGAGGTATCAGTCCTAATCTGATGGTTTACAAGTGCTTGTCACAAAAGCTTGTCAATTTTATGGATCAGAAAGTATGAAATAATTTAATGCTTCATTTTCTGAAGGAGGATATGTAGTAGTTCTAAGAATAAGACATTAATATGTCAGAGTTAACAGAATTCTAAACAGGAAGAAGCAACTGCTGGAAATTTTTTTGAGGTTAAAATGATTACCTACTTCAGATCAAAAAGCACAGATTAATTTGATTTAATCAGATGAAAACTTATTGCATAAAATTTGTATTTATTTACATTAAAGTGTTTGATTCATGTTGACTTGATAAGTGCAAGTCTAAATTGATATTGAGTTAAATCCTTTTTCTCAAGGCAAAAATTCATACCATCTTTGTAGCAAGACAAGGCATAGTGAGATGAGGAAATAACCATTTGTTTTCTTTAATATTTTAATGACAAATAGATTTCTGCCTACAGATGGTCTAATCTAAGATTGTACTTTGAGACAATACAGAAATAGATGATCATTTCATTTTAGTCATTTATTTATCAAATATTTATTGTCTGCAAGCTACATCCAAAGTACTTCTCAAGCTACAGGATGTACATTGGGAATGGTGTGTAACCCTTGGGTCTGGAGAGTTCTCCCACTTTTGTATGTCATGTTCATTTATGGAATTGCAGAGAAAAAGCCCAACAGTGGTTGGCATTATTCCCCAAATGTTTCTCATAAAATCAGATTATGTCCTTCATACTGTGGGGCCCACAGGAGTAGGACTCTCTTGATCCTTTTATCTCTGGTAGAAATCTTTCAACAGCAAGAGTTCAGACAGATTACAGTGGATACCTGGCATCCATAGTAAGATGCCTGTGCCCCATGTTCGATTTGTATCATAACTAAAAAGATGAGCACAGAGCTAGACTGTGATTGTGTTGTGTTTTGCTTAAAATAGAACAGGAAGTTTAAATTTTTTCTCCTCCCTCTACCAGGAGAAAGATCAGTCTACCCAAATTCTTAAACCATCCATCCAAATAACACACACTTCCGGGAGTCAAAAACTTGGAAAACAAATGTATGGATAATATTGTGTGAGGATGTCTCACCCTTTCCTTACTGTGTCCAGAGAACTTCTCCACATTTCCTTTCTGCCTCACCAGCTAGACCTGATCTTACCTTTGACAAATTGGTATCTTCATTGAAGTTTGACCAACATAGCATTTCATCCAAGTTCTTGTAGCTCTGATGTCCAGAAGTTCATACATAAGTAACCAGTGGAGGCCCCAAAGAGCCCATGAAGGTTGTGTCTGCTCCTCCTTAGGTGATACTGTGGTGAAGAAACAATGAGCTTTTCACCAAGTGAATTAGCAGTATTGCTAGTACAGCTCCCAGCCAAGAAAGGATTGAATAGTTACTTGTTCTCTTTGCATCTGTATTGCCTCATGAATTAAACTCATGTGGATTTTCAGGTCTACTGTGATGTGGAGCCAAAACGTCAAGCATTAGCCCAAGCAAACTTAGACTTGGCTGCAGCTACTGAAAAACTAGTGGCCATCAGGAAAAAACTTGGGGTAAGTGCAAACTGTAACACTGAAGAAATTCCAAAGGGGTGGTCCCCACATCGACCTTAGGAGCCCATCTCCAGACAGAGCCACATGTGACCCTGCCAAAGAGAAAGGTATTTGATGTTTCTTGAATGCATTCCCTTATATATTCATTCAGTAGATATTTCTTATTTGCTGTATGCTAAACCCTGTACTGGAAATGTAGATTCATTTATGCTTTTTGCACTTAAACTTTCACGGTCTGGTGTATAAGAATAAAGGTAGCATGTGATGATTAAAAGCATAGCCCTTGGAGCCAGACTTACTGGTCAGCATCATGCCTCTTCTATTTAATTTTTAACTCCACAAAAGTTGGTTAACTTTTCTACTCCTCTGTTTTCTCATCTGTGAAATAGGTACAGATGGAGCATCCCTTATTCGAAAATCCAAATACTCCTGAATCCCAGACTTTTTCAATGCCAACATGATGCCTAAGTAGTTTTGGATGGTGGAGAATATTGGATTTCAGATTTTTGGATTAGGAATGTTCATCTGGTCTAATCTAAATAAATTTGCAAATATTCCAAAATCTGAGAAACTCCAAACTCTGAAATGATTCTGTCCCCAAGCATTTCAGATAAAGAATATTCAATCTGTATAATAATAGCATCCATTTATTTGTAGGATTTTGAGAGTTAAATGAGTAATTCATATTAAGAATTTAGCATAGTAATACTCTTAAGTGAAATAAATAGGACACAGATGTGTAAATCCCGAATAGTTTCTCTGGTGTGAGAAACTGAAAGTGTAAATAAGGACTAAATGTATAATAGGTCATGTGAAATAGGAAGAAAAGGGGCAAAGGGGAAGAAAGTGGGAGGGCTAGGGGAAAGGATAGAAGGGAATGGGATTAATATGAGAAAATGGAAAAATAGGAACAAAATTTTTGTAAATAGGGCTGGAGGGGTTGAAGGGAGGGCTGGGCAAAGGTGAAAAACAAGAACCAAGAGAGACTATGTAAAGCTGCAAATTTCCAATGCTGAATGTCGTTATATTGTATACCTAAAATGTACCAATTATTAGAATGAATAATAGATAATGTAAAATAGGAATAAAAGGTCCAAAGGGGTAGGGGTAGTGGGAGGCATAGGGGAAAGGAAAGAAGGGAAAGGAAAAAATGATGAGAAATGGAAGAAATGGAAATAAAGTCTTTGTAAATAGGGAAGGGTGGAGGGCGTGAAGAGAGGGCTAGGAATGGGGGAAAAATAAGAACCAAGATGCATTATATAAAGGTACAATTCCCAATGAGAAATGTAATTGTGTTGTATACCTACAATGTACCAATAAAAGAATTTAATACAAAAAAAAAAAGAATTTAGCATAGTATCTGGCATTCAGTATTTTCTGGGTGGAATTAATATCATCATCATACTAATTTTACAAATACATAACCCAGTCATGCTGGTCCAGTATTATATAAAGGTGAGTATATACAGAATGCAACCAAAGCACTAATAAATTACCAAGCCTGGTAAAATTAGAGGAAATTTCTTCAGGAGGGTATCCTGAACAGGGGCTCCAAAAGGCACTTACATGTCCCCTGGGTGGCTAGGATGGAAAAGGGGTCCCTGGTAGAGATGAAGAAAAACAGAGAGAGGCAGTTGGGATACTTGAGGAGCCACAACAGACCAGACCAATGCTAAGAGGAATGTTTTGGGGAAGGTTAGGAATGATAGGGAGGAATGAAAGATGACCATTCAAAGATGAGCAAAGGCCTTCTTTGCCTTTTATAGCTGCAAACTTTAAACTTTATCTTGCTACTGACATCAAGCCTTTGAAAGATTTTAATGACACACTCAGACAATTTCGCAGGCAACTGCAGCAAGTCCTGGCAGGGCCTCGGCTCAGGCAGGAGCAGTCGTGGTGGGGCCCACATGGATCCTCAGCTGGCTGTTGGGGCATGGAGAGAGGAGAGGAATATGAAATAGAGGCAGTGGGTGGGAGGGGCTGGCAAGACAGCATGGAGCAGTGCAGTCGGGTTGATGAGGCTGTGCCTCTCTGGCAACTTACAAAATCTTCAGCTTCTTCCGTGTCAGGCTGTGATAGTAACAACTGCCTCTCGAGGTGAACATTTGTGATTTTTTCACTATCCCACATCCAGTCTGCTGCCTGTGAGCAAAACCAGCCTGATTTATCTTTACAGAATGCTCACTCATTAAATACACCTAGCTGGAGCTTTTGAGCAGTAGGGACCTTCCCTTTTCTAGCTACGTGGACGAGGTGTTTAACATAAGCCTTGCCAAGTTGATTCCTCGTCTTTAAATTTGAATGATGAATAACAGACTGAAAGGAGTTCATGCATCCCAGAGATAGTGTCCACATGAGACCATCAAGAGTTCCTGCTCCCCTGACCCTCCCTGGTTCTCTGCCTTTCCTTCTCTCCCAAGAGCTACCCTATCTCTTCTCATACATTCCCTTCAGCTTAAATTAGCTGGAGGAGTTCTGTCTTTGCTACTGAGAGCTGGTGTGTTGAGTTACCCTTCCATGTGCAACACACAGTAGATCCTTGCTAAATCTCAGTTTTTACTCTTCCTGTAACCCACTTGTAGGTATTCAGCAGTCAAAACTGCAGTTTGACAGAGAAGCTGCTTGGGGGGGATGGCTTTGGAAATGGTTGGTATAATGATTGTGTGTGTAGAGAAATGGTCCAGGGAGAGTGCAACACAAAAGAAGCAATGGGGACTGAGGTAGAGCTGAGGGAGGATGTTCAAACACCAGAGTAAGTCCTACCATAGGTCCCCGAGCTGGTGAACTCAGCGGCCCTGCAGTGCAGCGTGGCTCTTACAGAACAAGGCTTCAGTCAGACCTGTGTATGTCTGGGAACACCACTTGTCAGTTTGGCAAAAAGGGAGCAAGCATTTTCTGACAGCCCGTGTAAGATTTCAGGGTGTATTAACAAAGGTAAAAGCGTAAGATCAACTTTCCAGAGCAGAGCCAAAGGTACGAGGAAGTGATTAAACTGTACTTTCATTTTCCCATTCAATGATTACAAGGGATCTTTTATGACAATATTCTAGTAATATGATCAGTAATCCCAAAAATATTCTCCTATGACATGAACAATTTCAGCATCTCTCACAATTGACTCCCTCTTGTCTTTTTGTTTTATTTTTTTGGTACCAGGGATTGAACTCGGGACCTTGCACTTTGCGAGGCAGGCGGCAGAACCACTAAGCTAAATCCCCAGCCCTCCCTCTTGTCTTTTGAGGCTGCTGCTTCCAATAGCCCTTCCTGGTCCCCACTCCTCTTGACTCCCCCTTTCTGTCCAGCAGCACATAGTCCTAGTACAGCCCCAAGCAGTGCTGCTCACCAATGTCTGATGATCAGTGGAAGAAAAGCAAGTCAGCAGCAACAGCAGCTGATTTGAATACTTGTAGAATAAACATAACTTTACAAAAATTACCTTCATTCACTGGCAAAAACTCTGTCAGCTTGACTAAAACCTTTGTGAATGGCTTTATATGAACATTAGAAGTAATTTAATGTTCATAAGAAAAGTGATGAAGATGCTGAAGAGAACCCTAAAGTTAACCTGGAAGTTGAGACTGTTTTTGCAGAACTAAGATTCCTTTGGACGTAGCCTGCAACTGACTGAACTGAGTTGGTCATGCCAACTCTTCAGAGACCCATGATACAAGCAGAGGTTCACATGTCAATAAGCCTCAGAATTAAGCTTTGAAACACAGGGACAAGACGGACAAAGTAATATAAGGGATGATTGAGGAATATACTGAATGTTTAAATTATTTTTAAACTTACTGCAGTAAAAGATACATTACCTAGAATGATGGGTTAAGTGTGTTTGAAGTGAGGAGGGAGTATTTTGAGAGTGCTTAATGGCAATTTATCTTTTCTGTAATTTTTCAAATTTAAACATTCACCATATCTTTTATCTCTTACTGATCAAATGTTTATGGGTAATTCTGTAAAATAACATTATGATGTGTCCTCATTCACTGTATTCATTGGATCTGGGACCATGCAACTTCTGGCTCTTCTGCAATCAGAATGACCAAGCAAACATTTTGAATGGATTCAGGACATTGACACAGCCATGACTGCACAATTAAAGAATTAGAATCCTCCTGATTCTTACCCCTAAGAATATTTTCTTCAATAATAATAATAAAATTCCATGATCTTTCATATTTCCTTCTGCAATAACAATAGTACTGAAAAAAGCTCTTTTTTTCATTATTTTCAGAATATTCTCCACTAATGAAAAAATAGCCAATTTTCATTTTAAATGAATGGCTTAGTATATATGTTTAAGAATTTATATTTTAGTAATCAGTACTATCTCTTGAGCTTAACATGATAGCTTATAACTGTTTAATTCAGTAACTAAGTAAATTGCTTCAGTATTAAAAATAAGGTTTATCACTAACAGAGTAGAGAGATAACCCACAGAGTGGGGAAAAAATTTTTACCAGCTATTCAGATAAAGGACCAATATCTACAATATATAAAGAACTCAAAAAAATCAGACCTCCCAAATTTAAAGACCCAATCCAAAAATGGACATCTGAAATGAAAAGGCACTTCTCAGATGAAGAAGTGGAAACAGCAAATAAATATGTGAAAATTGAAGCAAAAATAAATAAATAAAAGTAAGGTTTGTTTCATGTTTGTATCAGAGGTTTAGAGAGTGTGGCCCAGGAACTCCTGAGGGGTTCCTAGAATTCTTTCAGAGGACTTATGAGGCCAAGAATGTTCTCATAATCATATTAAGTCATTGTCTTTTCACCCTCATTTTCTGACAAGCGTACAGTAGGGTTTCCAGAGGCCTCATGATTTGGTATCTCAACAGATAGAAGGCAGGGGCAGGTATAAGAACCTCATACTCTTGAGAAATTAAGGGGACTTGCAAGAATCTTAATCTCATTCTCCTCATTAATTGTTTTTTATTTTGATAATACTGTTGCTTTTATAAAATAGATGTATGCTAAAATGAGTTTATTAAAATGAATAAATTTTTAAACTCAGTTTTAGTTTCTAATATAAATATGAATAGATGTAATCTGCATAAACCAATGGCCTTAGAGTTCTGAAAGTGAAAGTATTTTGAGAACAAAAATTATTGACAACTGCTGGCTTATACTCCCTGAGTATTATTATGTGGGTCATCAAAATTAATCCTCATAAAACTCCCCTCTGAGTTGGGTAATGTTGTTAATTCCGTTTTTCACATAATGAAACTGAGGCATAGAGTTCAGATAAACAGCTCGACTTGACTGTACTTAGCTGGTAGCAGAATCCATATGTGAGCCTAGGTATCTGATACCACAGCTCACATGCACTTCACTGTTATAAAATATTTATGCACCTTCTGGACCAAACAGTGTGGAAACTGTTATTTACTGAAAACAAGGGGGTTCAGAAAGTCATTTACAGTTTAGATTAGGTCTAATAAACCAAATAAGTGAAAAATACAGGGTAGGGAAATGTCAACCAGGACGTCCATCTTCGACATTTTCATCATTACATTCAGTGGATAGACATTTTGTGCCACCCACAGAAAAAAAATGGCAACACAACAGTGTAAAGTGTGTTGTTCAAAGAAAGACAATAATTCAAAAAAGATTTAAAAAGAGACTAGATACTACCATCCAGACTGTAACGCTCCCTGCCCATGATGCTCCTGGTAAACTCTTAAGTGGTTATGGTTAATGACAGGAGACCTTGGAGTGTTCACTTACTGACTCATGTCTCGTTTGTTTCGTATCTGAGGCAATGAAGAGGGGTGTTACTTACCAAGCTCCTGCAGACCTCCTCAACATGACCAGACTTGGCCAATCAGATTTTCTCTTTTGCAATTTGGAATTGAGATTCGGAGGTTGTCCACTGTCTTCTAGAAAGAGCTGGGAGGATGTATACATTTTGTGGGACTTCATTTAGAGAGACACCACCTTCCACCATCCTCAGCTCTCTCTAGAAGACAGTTGCGTTGTGTATTAAATGTCTAAAGATATACTGTACACAGAAAAATTACTGAATACATTTGATAAAATTGTCATTTTTATATTTCCTGTTATATTGTAAAAATTAATGAAAAATATGCAACTTTTGGTCATTCTGTATTTAAATAATTAGATTGGTATGTGGATAATAAAGCTGCTGATGGAGGATGAGGCTTAAGGACAAGAGTGGAGGGGCCCGGAGTTCCCACAGTTTATTTGAGTGGTAAAGGCATAAACAGTAGCCTTGAGCCCTGACTGCATCTTGCCAGTGAAGAGGGAAGGCGACAAGAGCACTTGGTAATTTGTTAGACAATCTGTGGTAGCCCCTGATGGATATATTGTCAATATCTCCTCCTCCTCCTTCCCTAAAGTATGTATGGTAGAAAGGAAAAGGGCAAAGAAGAGAGAGAGCAGTTTGTTTCATTTCCCTTAAAGTAACAGATGTTTTATTATGACTGGGATATTTATGTTTTATCTAGAAATGACTCGAATTAATTTAAACTTTTATACAGGATCTGGATCAACATCTTCGCAGACTCACAGCTTCATTTGAAAAAGCAACAGCTGAGAAAGTCCGATGTCAAGAAGAGGTGAACCAAACCAACAAAACCATTGAATTAGCAAATAGGCTTGTCAGAGAACTTGAGGCAAGTTAACCTTTTTTTCCAAAATTCTTGCTAAAGTATTTGGATCAATTTCTTTGGATTTTATTAATTGGTATCAATAATAACTAGAGATAGAATCAACAATAAAGGGGAGTATTTAATCATCACTCATACTGTGGGTCAAAGTTACTAGAAGGTAGACCTGACCTGTCACGTATTTTTTTAAATATATAGACAACTTGGGGTATAGTTTCAGCACAGTTTACAATAAAAACAGAGAGAAGGTGTATATTTTGTCAGAATTTACTTGTTTTGCATCAACTTTGAGAGAGTGGAATATACCAGCTGTAGTAGTGTAGGTATCTACTTATTTTTTTCTCCCTCTTTTCTTCCTCTCCTTCCTTTCTTAGCATGTGAAACCCTTTAAAAACAAACAAAAGCCCTGTTTCTCTTAAGATATGTTATGAAAGTCAGGATGGCGGCTGGGTAATTGGTATGAACTGCTTTCTGATCCTTTTATTGAATTGTACCAGCGGACTATTACTTTCAAGCTAAACCTGATTTGTATGTTATTGTTACCTCTTCTTATAGGTGACTGACATGCTAATGTTAATATTTATTTCATTGCATAAAGGTTTTTAAATAATCATATAGTTTTTTTCTGTAGAACATGTTAATAAGAGAATATATGGCCTTTGTCATGAATAAGACACTGAAATCAGATTTTAGTTGCTCTAACATATGGCATTAACAATTTTGGGCAAGTCTTTAAATCTCTTCAACTGTATTTCCTCTAAAATGGGAATGTAAATAATATCCATTCACCTTACAAGGTCGTGATGAAGTTAAAAAGAGTTATCTTTGTCTCTTTGTTTTATATCAAAATAAAAAGATAAATAACCCAATTAAAGAAGAACCAAAAATTAAATAGACATTTGTGTATAAGAGATGTTACATCTGGCCAATAAGCATATGGAATTAGGGTCAATATCGTAAGTCAGTAGGGAAATATAAATTAAAACTACAAGGTGACCACTCATAACATGGCTATAATGTACAGTAGCACATGTTGGCGAGGATATAGAGAACACTCATATGTTGCTAGTTACAGTGTAGGATGGCTCAATCTCTTTGGGAAACAGTTTGGCAGTTTTAAAACATTAAATATGAAATAACTACGTGATTCAACAATACCATTCATAGATATCTACCCCTAAAATAAAAGCAAATACCCACATGAAAGTGTTTGTGCCAATAATCATTACAGCATTATTTACAACACCCAAAAGTAGAAACGACCCAAATGTCCATCAATTCATGGATAAAAAATGTAGTATATCTATACAATGAATGTTACTCATCCATAAAAAAGGCATGAAATACTGACACATGCTACAACATGGATGAATCTTGAAAATAGCATGCTAAGTACGAAAAAACAGGCACAAAAGACCAAATTGTATGATTCCATGTATATGAAATTGGGTCAAAGTAGAGAAATCTATAGAGGCATAAAGTAGATCAGTGGTTGACAGGGACTAGATAAGAGTTTGAGGTTTAGGGAATGATTGCTGGTGAATATATAGGGCTTTTTGGGGAGAGATAAGAAAAATGTTCCAAAATTAGGTAGTGGAGATAACTATACACATCTATGAATATGCTGAAACACACTCTGTTGTATACTTTCAAGGATGAATTTCATGGTATAAGAATTACATTTCAATAATGCCATTTTAAAACATAAAATGTACAATTGCACTATTAAAAGCATCTATAAAGTATACAAACTAAAAAGTAATTAAAAAGTACACAATGTACTATTAGAAATGCATGTACTGGTGCTGATAGAAAACTTGATTTGCAGTGGTTTAAACAAATAGGAGTTTATTTTTCCGCATATTAAAAACATTGCTAGTGGTAGACCGGTATCAGTGATTAATGGCCAGGCACCCAATCTTTTCACTTTTCTGCTTCTTTATGCTTAGCATCCTCTTGTGTTTTGCCTCATGGTTCCCAAATGGCGGCTGTTTCTCCAGAGAGACTTGGAGCAAATCTGTGTCAGTTGGAGTTTCCTCCTTCCATAAGAAAAACTGAAGTTTTCCTAAAAACCTTTCTAACACACTCCCGTTCAAATTTCTTTACCCAAAAGATCAATCACTCCTAACTGCAAAAATGACTGAAAAAATAAAAAACTGGGTTATCATGACTGGCTCAGCCAATCAGTTTATCTTTTGGGACTGAACACCTTGCCACTCTATTCAAAATTAGGGATTTCTCTGCAAGAAAGGAGAGAAAAATGTATATTAGGGTGAGTTTGCTGCCAATAGCCTTATTTCTTAAAAATACAGTAGCTTTTTAAAAATCTAACTCAAATTTGCTACAAATTTAAACCCACACTCTAAAACTCATAGTTCATGGTATATGAGCTCATACATAGTTCCTTCAGTAAGATGTATTCTGTCCATTCCCTCTCAGTCACTGCAGGTTTGTTGCCCCAAGTTTTCTGGCCAAGAGCTTTTGAATTGCACCTGGCTTTTTGCCTGCTTTCCCACAACCCATAGGCAGTTCATCAGCTTTTTCTGTTGGCTCTGACTTACAAATCTATTCCAAATCTGAGCCCTTCTCACTCCCTTCAGCGCCCAGACTGTTCCACACCACCAGCTTCCTCCCTGGAGACCTCCCTAGCCTCTACCACTCCCCCCTGTAGTCCATTCCTCTTGTTGCAGCTGGGTGATCATTTCAAAATTCAAGTCTATCCCTGTTACCATTTTGCTCAGAACTTCTCAGTACCTAATAGTTCTCTCAGAGTACAGTCTGCAGGCTTTATGTGACCTTTGAAGCTGTTGTGGTCATCTTTCATATTTCTGGGAGAAAATACTTGACATGGTAACATAAAGGAAGAGAAGTTTCTTTATCTCACAGTTTTAGAGGATTCAGCCCGTGGTCAGCTGCTTCAGGGCAGAAACATCAAAGTGGAAAGATAGCTAAGGAGACAGCTAAGCTGCTTAGTCTCTGGCAGCTGAGAAGGAGAGCAGAACAGTCTGGGAGAGGAAGGGCACATACATTATCCAAGGCCACATCTCCATAGCCCACCCAGACACACCCAGAAGTTTGCTTTACTAATCCTTTAGGTGGCTCCTAATCCAGTCAAATAGGCAAACAGGAGTAAGGGTTACAGAGGCCATGTGTGATGTGGCTCCTGGGTGCCTCTGTCCTCACCTTGCTAACTTCCCTCTCACTGCCCTCCACAGGCCTCCTTGCTCTTCCCTGTACAGCCAGTTGTTCCCCTACCTGTGGCTGTTGGCTTGTGCCTCCCTCTATGGGGCTCTCCCTTTCCCAGGTGATCTCATCATTGGCTGCCTCACTTCTCAGGTCTCTGCTGGAATGCCCCCTTTGTCATAGGAGGTTCTCTGACCTAAGGTAAAGAACACTCAGCTTGTGCCTACATACACACACACACACACACACACGCACGCACGCAGGCACACATGTCCATGGCTCTACAGATCTTTTCCAGTTACTCTCATTATTATTCTTTCATAGCATTTGTGACACATTTGTGAATGTTCAGAAGACACATACTTTCTGTGTATATGTGAACGTCTGTGGTCTTTTTTCTCCAACTAGAAAACAAGCTTCTGGAGAACAAGAACTTCTTCTGTTTTGTGAACCACTTGATTCCATGTTTAGAGATTAGTCCCTGGCATGTCCAGGAATCAGTTCCCATGTCGTGAATGAATGAATGGGTGATTGGGGAGCTATCTGTGTTTTAATAAAAGAAAGTTCTGGAGCCCTGTAAAGATTCATTTCTTTTTGGTCAGGTGAGAAATTACACCACAGCTATTACTTACAACTATTCCTACTTAACATGGAAAGATTTAAGCTGTTTGAAGTGTTTACCATTTGTGAGACACCTGAGAAAAAGAATGTCTCATAATTCAGCTATGCCCGAAGTAGTTACAGGGTGTCTGAAAGTTTTATCAAGTAAAAACAGGTTTGACCCTGTGTCTCTAACACACAGCAGTTTTCCCAAAGGCTTTACTTACTACTGATTTAGACAGTGAAAGAGGAAAAACTGGTAGGTTGTTAACAAGGGAAAAATACATTTTTTGAAGGATTAATTGGAGATGTCAGATCTTTTCCCTTGGGGATAAATTCTTTCTGACTAGAACAGGAGACAGTTAACTTCTGAAAAGCATCAAGACTGATGATTTTATCTATATGGCATTGACCTGGAAGATCAACCATTCAGACTAATAAATCAGACAATTTATATTTAATCATTAACTAACTCCTGAGCTGAACAGCTGTTCAAAATTAGAAATGGGTCACCCCGGCCAGGATGACATTACAGGCAATCTATAATGCATTAGAATAAAATTATAGTGATTTTTAACTGTCGAGAAATTTATTACAGGACATGTTCCAACTCTTAAACCCTTGTTACCCAATGTCAGTAATGATTTATGTTGTGTGGGTGGTATAGTGAAATTATTGACGATTTCAATAGGCAATAAGTCTGTGTTTAGTAAATCTGCAAATTTCAAAGCTGTTTTGGAGAATGAGGTGGGTGCATTTTATTGTTTATCATTTACAAACCAAAGACAACAAAGATGAAGGGCGAGCAAACAAGAGATTTCTCTTGAAAATTAATGGATATATGGTCTGTGGCCAAGGAAGAAATGATGCTAAAAAGAGACCTAAAGAGCTGAAGTTTCTCTGTGTATAATTACATAGATAACTTGGGGTGACCTTTATCAAGGAATGCAAGGAGACATCCTTAAACAGTTTTGATAACTGTTTCACATGCTAATTTCAGGACGCCATGTCTAGGCTATCAGGATGGCTTACAGGAAATTGACATTGCTGTTTTTTCTTTCATGAAGAAAGCAAAATTCTGCAGGGTTCTTCTTTGCTTGTACTATCCAATTGCTGATTTTTTTTCAGGTTTTATTAATTTGCACATTCTTAAAACAGTGTATTAATTTTTAGCATGCCTTGAAGTAAAGTGTATTAGCAAATTGTCCTATAGTTCAGGCAATCCATATATATTTATTGCAGTTTTATTCAAATCCAATATTCAGGGCTCTACATACTTAACCTGTAAATCAGATTTTAAATGACCATCCCACTAGATATAAGGACTTCAACAGCATGTTTTTGTATTATCTTCAAGACTAGCCCTTCTAGTCCTGATTTTTATCTTTTCACCTAGGTCATAGACTCCTTCACTGATTTAATGATTGTGTAAAAAAAAAATAACTTGAGTTTAGTCACTACTGGTCTAATTCTTTAATTAATACAATTCAGAGTAGATGGCCGTTTAAGCATTATGTTTTAATTAATTAACAAGAGTGATGTTTGTCATTTTCCTTTGTCTATAATCAGCCCATAGCCGGTATATTAAGAAAGAAAAACGTTGGTCTAGGGCAGGGTTGGACCATTGATGAAAAGTGGGGCAAATGGAGATAGCTAGGTTAACATTAGGAATCCTAGTGTCAGTTGGATGTAGTGGTACATACCTGTAATCCCAGCACTCTGGGATCACAGGAGGGCTGCAAATTCAGGTCTCACCTAGGCAAATTAATGATACTCTATTTCAAAAGGAAAAAAAAGGAAAAGGGCTGAGGATGTAGCACAGTGCACAGACCCTGGATTCAGTCCCCGGAATCATAAAACAACAGCTACAAAAACACTAATGTCACTCATTCTTGGCCACAACTCTGGCTGAGTTCTTAGGAAGCAAATGTCTGCCTTTCAGAAAGGACCCCAGTCGTGATTAAAGACGTTAAAGAACTAAGGTTAGATCAGACTAAACTCCACAGAAGAGAGTAGGAGAACTACTTGGTGATGATGGGTTTTAAATGAAAGGTTATAACAGTCATGACAGCCAGTTACATTCTGTTCCTTCGGTACAGAAGGCCTTCAACTGTGCTATAAGGTCATTGCATTAAGCATTCCTGGAGTTGACACTCACTCTGTAATTACATGTGGGTCATTTCATCATTCAGTCAGAGAAGATTCGCTGGGGTCAGTCTGTCCAGTCCTTCGAGGCTCAGGAGAAGACCCTCTGTGGCGATGTTCTCCTCACAGCAGCATTCGTGTCTTACACTGGATCCTTCACCAAACAGTACCGCCAGGAGCTGGTGCACTGCAAGTGGGTTCCGTTTCTTCAGCAGAAGGTAAGCACAGTTCCTTATCTTGTAAGCCTGAGGGAGCATCATGAGATGTGTGCGTATCTGCATGCCAGGCACCTCTGTAACAATAACTACTGGAAATTCTGCCATGAGCACGTTTCCAGTGTGGTGCATGATGTTCTATTTTGAAGATTTCCACAAGGAGGTAAAAACAATATATAGTTGTGTTTGGAAAAACACATTTAACAAACATGATGACAGAAATCAAGTCTCGATTATATTACTGGATACCATGAAATTTTTTGTTTCCTTCCTAATATTACAAACTATTTGTTAAGGAACTTTCAAGACTACTTTATGATTAAAAGTGTAGCTTTTTGTATAGAGACATAAAAGTAACTTGCCCTAAATTTGAAAATGCAAAGCCACAAGCAAAGTGAAATCAAGGACATGACATATTTGAAATCATCTGTTTTATTATCCTCCTTGAGAAAAGTGAGTCCCAGGAAGCTCAAATGACTCCAGTCATGTAAAATGGAAAAGCAGACCTCCTGATTTCCAGGCCCCTATGTTCTCTGCAACATTGTCATCTCAATTAATGGAAATGGGTTCTTAATTATTCAGCCATTTCTGGGATATATTTAAAGATCATCAACCATCTTTCTGTACATCAACTTTTGCTTTCATTTATCCACAGCTTTTTTCATGACATAAGTACATGCCAATGAAATGTCAGCAACTTAAATAAAATTGAATGTTTAGGGGAAAGCTCATTATTAAAGGCATCCCACAATTATTTTTATAGAAAAATCCTATTGTAACTAAATTATTTAATGTGTCTATAGTTTCAAATCTTGCTTTCATATTGAAGATCTCTTAAAAGAAATTATCTCTGTGCTATTCCCCAAAGGTTCAATGCTGTTCTTTAAAATATTGCCACCATAATATAAGCACATGTGCTTTTGTAGAAGAGGACAAGACATTCTGCTAATTTTGCCTTATTCACTGCATTGAGAATTTTGAAAATGTCAACTGTTTGTTTCTTCTTTTTCCTTTTTTTTCAATCCCAACTTCTCCAACCCGAGTCTTCTTGTGTTTATCCAGGTAATCCTTGTTACTACATCACATGACAGTTGTCCTTGTTAGCAGTTCCCTCTGTCTTCACAGTCATTTGTATTTTCATTCCCTCCAAAATAATTAGGAAAACTAACTTCTGACATCAAAACTATCAAACTTAACATGGTCTCCTTATTGTTATGACTTACTTTGAAGGGCATATATTGACAGCACAGACTTAGGCTACCAGTATTTAACATTTCTTACATTGGATATTGGCCTTTTCTGATTTAGTTTTAAAACTGGTCTAACACATTTCCACCAGCTTGAACCACTGGAGGGACAAGCATGACTGTCCCATTAGGTGGCTTGTGCCATCTCCTGAGATTGTCTCATGCTGGCCAATGGAGCAGTCATTCATGTACCACTGGTGATTCAGGGCCATCTGCCAGCAAGACATAAAAATTACAGCCCTGTCGTGAATGTGTTAAGAATTGGGAAAAAATGGAGATAGAGCTTTTACAAACAGGAAGATGTCTTAGTTACATTTCTGGTTGTTAAGACAAAATATGCAACACCTAAAGTTAAAGGAGGAGGCTGGGGATTTAGCTCAGTGGTTTCACCGCCTGCTGTGCAAGCACGAGGACTCGAGATTGATCCCCAGTACCAAAAAAAAAAAAAGTTAAAGGAGGAAAGATTTATTTTGGCTCACAGTTTATAGAGGTTTCAGTCCCTAATCGGCTGCCTTCTAGGCAGAGTAACATGGCAGAGAGGCATCACACAGGAGAAAAAACAATCCATGGCATGGAAGGCAGAAGGCAAGAAGCAGCAAAAGAAGCAAGAAGCAAACAGCAAGTGAGGAGGGCTGAGTGAGGAGGGCTGAGTGAGGAGGGCTGAGTGAGCAGGGCTGAGTGAGCAGCCCTCTTTCTGTCCCTTCCATTCTATCCAAGCTACCCACACTTATGGCAATTAGTGCTCACACCCAGGGTGGGCTTTCCCATTATCCACACCCAGAACTATGCCAAACCAATTAGTGGACTAATTTAGTAATCACACACTCCAGATTCAGCCACCTCTGAAAAGCCCCACCTGTTGACCTCATGAGGCTTTGTGGGGGGCATCCAGACACAAGCCATTATAAAAGGAGGACCAAGAGATGGGGCAGGAAGCCAGAGGAGGGGTAGGGAACAAAAAAAAGAATTAAGATGTGTTATGCACATGGACCAACTCCCATTGATAGTTGTAATCGTTTTATACTGCAAATGTACTAATAAAAAGGAAAGGAAAAAAGTACACATTTCCTTGAGATATTATTCCTAAGCTGCTCATTTTACCAAGAAAATCTAATTTATGTGAGTGCATGAATACAGTAGAGATATCTTAGCATGTTCTTTCAAACATACATATCTGGTTTCTGGCTAAATAATCTAGGAAAAAATAAAAGTAGAAGTTTAAAAACCTGACCTTTAGTTGCTGATATGTGTTTCTAGAAAATTCGATATCAGTTAATTTGTATTTTCCCATTTGCTTAAAATTCCAAATGTGGGGTACCATGAAAATAAAATTCTGCCTCAATTATATCATAAAAATAAAAATAATGAAATTGATCCACTTACCCAAATTGTCAAAATATTCTAAACGAAGCCAAAGCAAAATGATAATTTTCTGATAATAATATCCTAAAAATAAATTCACTTTAGTGTGGGCTGTGTTTTACTATAGCCTCACCATTCCCCATTTTCTGTCCTAACACTCTGTCTCTTCCTTCAGTACTTATGCACTGTGCAGACTGACAGACCCTAAAACATGGCCAGCTTACTCTCCCACTCATGACTAAGTGTAGATAAACTAAGGGAAGAAAATGTCCCCAAATTATTTCATATGAAAGAGTTTATCTGCCTCTAAGGCATGTGGCAGAAAGTACTTCATGAAACGTAACATATACCCGACCTCATGGAATCAGATTTTCCCTCTCCTGAGCTGCTTGTCTTCTAGATTTACTGGCAGTGAAGTAGGAAGACAGTCAGTCGCATCTGTCTGAGCTGTATCAGGGTGGCAGTAGGAGCTGAAATTGCTTATTGCCAATTTTTCAAATTGATCTGTCCTAGATATGTTTTCACAAGAAGCAACTGCTCTTGTTTCTCAGTATGTGGGATATTTTCTAGCACTGCACTTGCCTCTAGGAGGCCATCTTCTTGTGTCTTTGGCTTGTCAGTTTGACTTAGGTGTCATAGGGATTCTAATGATTTGTAAGTAATCAGGTAGCAAGTAACTATGGTTTGTGTGACTTATAAATCTATAAACCAAGCATGTCCTTTAGAATATCTTGGAAGTAACTCCTCTATAAAACAAGAATCAACTCTCCTTAATGTATTGTCATAAATACATACATTCTAAGTAATTTATAATATTATTTATATATACTGTAGTCTAAACACACCTGCTCTGGCCTGGGGATTTAGCTCAGTCGTGCTGCACCTGCCTCGCAAGCACAAGGTCCTGAGTTCGATCCCTATAAAAATTATTCAGGATGAGCCAGGGATTTAGCTCAGTGGTTTTGCCGCCTGCTGCACAAGCTCAAGGACCCAAGTTCGATCCCCGGTACCAAAAAAAAGAAAGAAAAATTATACAGGAGTAGGAAAGATAGCCTCTTTAATAAATGGTGCTGGAAGAACTGGATTTCAACCTGCCAGATTAAAACTAGACCCATATCTTTCACCATTTACTAAACTAAAATCCAGTGGATCAGAGGTCTAAATATTAAAGCAGAAACAGTAAACTTGCTGGATGATAAGTTAGGTAGAACTCTTGAAGACATTGGCATAGGAAAAGACTTTATGAACAAAACCTGAGTAGCATGGGAACTAGCACAAAGAATCAACAACTGGGATCTCATCCTATAAAAAGCTTCTGCCCTGGGCCGGGGATTTAGTTCAGTGGTTCCGGCACCTGGCTCAAAAGCGCAAGGTACAGAGTTCGATCCCTGGTACCAAGAAGGAAAAAAAAAAGAAAAAAGCTTCTGCACTGAAAGAGAAAACACCAAGAGCTGAGAGACAACCTATAATGTGGGAAAAAAATTTTACCAACTGTTCCTCAGACAAAGGACTACTATCTAGAATATATAAAGAACTTAAAAAAAATCAGAACTCCTTAAATTTAAAGACCCAATTCAAAAATGGGCATCCGAAATGAACAGACATTTCTCAGACAAAGAAGTAAATGCAGCAAATAAGGGCTAGGGATTTAGCTCAGTGGTTCTACCACCTCGGTTGCAAGCACGAGGTCCAGAGTTCGATCCCCAGTACCAAAAAACAAAACAAAACAAAGCAGCAAATAAACATATGAAAAAATGTTCAACATCACTGGTCATTCGAGAGATGCAGATGAAAACAACACTGAGATTTCACCTCACCCCACAAAGAATGGCTGCTATCAAGAAATCAGCCAATAACAAATGCTGGCAGGGGTGTGGGGAGAAAGGAACCCTTCTCCATTGTTGGTGGAAGTGCAGACTGGTGCAACCACTGTGGAAGTCAGTATGGAGATAGCTCAAAAAACTGTGATTAGAGGTCCCATTTGACCCAGCTATTCCCCTGTTGGTTATCTTCCCCAAAGAATTAAAAGAATCATACCACAGTGATATATGTGCACCCATGTTTATAGCGGCACAGTTTGTAATAGCTAAAACTGGGAAACAGCCCAGTTGCCCATTGACTGAAGACTGGATAAAAAAGATGTGGGTTTTTTTTTTTTTTTATAAAATGCAGTACTACTCAGCCATAAAGAATGAGAAACTAGAGACATTCGTAGCTAAATGGATGCACATTCAGGTGATACTCTTTAATTAAAATAAATAGGACACACATGTGTAAATACCAATAGTTTCTCTGGTGTGAGAAACAAAGTGTAAATAAGGGTCAAAATATAGAATAGATAATGTGAAACAGGAAGAAAAAGTCTAAAGGCCAAGAAGAAGTGGGAGGAGTAGG